TCGTCGTCTGCCCGGCCGGGTCTTCTTAGGGGTATTTTCTGGGGGGTTCGGGGTGGTATTTACCACAACACAGCGCGGGGTTCTCGCGAACCGGTCACAAAAGAGAGCTTGTTTTTTCGTGGTTCGCACTACGGACGCTCACGCAAGTCTGTCTTTTCGCGCGGCTTAACCAAGGTTGGGTATGGTGGGGGTGTTGTATACACAGCGCGAAAATAAATATAAAAAATTATGAAGTTACCGAAAAATGTTATTCAACCCTTAACATTCCGGCCTCCCAAAAATACCCAATTTTTCCCATAAACTTATCCTATACTATATACACGGTTGCCCCTTGAACAGGTTAACAGTTAGGGACAAAAGATAATTTGACCAAAGGTCGATCGAAAATGCCTTTGGCCGTGTGCACTTGCACAACGCGAATTTCCTTGTCGGAACTGGGGTACAAGCGCGTGATGCGGCCCAGAAGTCACTTTAACTGGGGGAGGTTCTCGTCTTTAATTAAAACCAACTGACCAACTTTTGGGGGGTTAGTCGTGGTGTTCCACTTGCGCCGTTGTTGCAGCTGGTGGAGGTATTCCCGATGCCATCTCTCCCAGAAGTGCTGGTGCAACTGCTGCACGAGCTGCCAACGAGTGAGTCTGTTAGTGTTCAGATTAGCTAAAGGGTCGTCGGGAGGGGCAGATAGGGGCTCCAGGGTCAGAAAATGCCCAGTAGTAAGGCTATGCAAATCGTTTGGGTTGGAACTCAAACTACATAATGGGCGGGAATTCAGTATGGATTCCACCTGAGTTAACACTGTCGACATTTCCTCGAAAGTCAGGATTTGAGAGCCTATCACACAAAACAAATGGGTCTTTACCGACTTGACGCCGGCCTCCCAAAAACCTCCAAAGTGAGGACTGGAGCGTGGGTTGAAGTGCCAGCGCACCTCACACTGGTCGGCGGACTGCTGGCATATACATGTCAGTGCAACGCCCGCGGCGAGCGACAAAGCGCCGAAAAGCGGCCAAGAATGCGTCTGAGCTGAGTTCAGAAGTCAATTCCAAATGGATGGCTTTGGTAGCCATGCAAACGAATAGGCAAATGTAAGCCTTCTGAGTCTTAGCGCCGCGCCTTCGCGCAAGGGTAATGGAAATTGGACCGGCAAAATCGACACCGGTATGCGCGAATGGCTTGAATTGCGATACACCAACGGGGGGTAAATCAGCCATGAATGGCTGTACACAAGAAGGTTGGACACGGAAGCATCGGTAACACTGCGATAGGGTGTGACGAATTGCTCTGCGGGCGGACAAAATCCAGAATTGTTGTGAAATCTGGTACAACAACGATTGGGGGCCCGGGTGGCAATTTTCCTTATGGAACTTTTCGATCACGAGTTCGGTAAAGCGATGGTCTCGAGGTAGTAGAAGAGGATGTTTTGCGTCGAAAGACAACGCAGAACCTCGGAGTCTGCCACCGACTCGAATGAGACCGTGCTCGTCGATAAAGGGCGCTAGGGAGCGTAAAGGTTTGGGGCACAGTTTACCGTTTCGAAGACACTTCAGCAAACCGGCGAACACCTCACGTTGGACGTATCCTGTGAGCAACGTGCGGGCGTGGTACGTGTCCGCAAAAGACAAATTATCAAGCGCTCGCTTGGGAATGGGGGTACGACAATTATTTAGAAACCTACAACAATAAGCCAGGATCCTCTCAATTTTTCGTAACGACGAGAAACGGGTTAACAGTTCTCCGAGCGAGTCAACTAAAGGGGTGGACACACAAGTCAACACTGGTTTACGTTCCAGTTCCAGATCGTCTCCGGGGGTGAAGTCGGAGGTGGGCCACTCTTCCACCGGAAGACGCAACCAAAGGGGACCACAGAACCAAGAGGGGTGAATTAATATTTGCTCGGGGAAGAGCCCTCGGGATGCGCAGTCAGCAGGGTTGGATGAACCGGCGACGTGATGCCAGGAACTGGAGGAAACGATGTCCTGAATGAGGGACACGCGATTGGCCACAAAAGTTTTCCATCTGTGGGGGGAGGACTTTATCCAAGACAATGCAATTTTGAAGTCACTCCAGGCGAATACTCTCGTGATAGTCAACTCAGAGGCTATAGTGGATCGGACGAAATCTACGAGTTGGGCGAGCAGCAACGCTGAGCACAACTCCAGACGGGGGATCGACACTCGCTTCAAAGGCGCTACCCGATTCTTTGCACACAGAAGGGTGACAGAGATATGGTCCTCTCTGACGCTTCGCAGATACACGGCTGCACCGTATCCGCGTTCCAAAGCGTCACAAAATCCGTGCGTCTCCACCTGGACGCCACTGCTAGGCAGTACCCGACGAGGGATTGTCAGCCCAGAAAGACTGTCCAGCTGAGACGAAAACGAACTCCAATCTTCGAATATGTCGCGGGGGAGAGGTGCATCCCAATAGACGCCCTGGCACCAAAGCCTCTGTAGGAGAATTTTGGCAGTCAGCACGACCGGGGATAAAAAACCTAGGGGATCGTATATTTGGGCTACTTGCGACAAAATATTCCTTTTTGTGCACGTCCTATCCGCTACTTCGATGCGGTAGGAGAACACATCCCGTAAGGGACACCACTGCAATCCAAACACCTTTAAACTGGGATTGTCGTCTCCGCATAGGGAAACGGGTTGATGATGTGAAGCGGGGAGTGAACTCAATAACTCGGGGGAGTTGCTCGCCCATTTGCGCAACTCGAAACCACCCAATTTTAGCAGCGATACTAATTGATTCCTCAACTCACGGGCTTCCTCCAACGAGTCTGTTCCTCCGATAATGTCGTCGATGTAGGTTTGGCAATCTAGGAGACGGGCTGCTAACGGGTAACGCGCTCCTTCGTCCCTAGCAAGCTGACGCAACATGCGTATAGCCAGGTATGGGCTACAACTTAGTCCATAGACCACCGTTGACAAGACGTACTCTCGCACTGCTTCGCGGGGATCAAAACGCCACAGAATCTGCTGGAAGAGGTGGTCGGCGTCACTCACTAGGATTTGACGATACATCTGACGAATATCGGTGGTGAAAACCACACAGTACAGTCGAAAGATGAGCAAAATGGCTCCAATGTCGGGTTGGAGCTTGGGACCCGTAAATAGAAGATCGTTCAGGGACAGTCCGTTGGAAGTTTTGGCTGAAGCATCAAACACAACACGCAATTTAAGGGGTTCGCTATGTGGCTTCCAGACTGCGTGATGAGGAATGTAGTAACCTTGGGGAGAGGGGGACAGGTCGCTAACGAGTGCCATGTGACTTTGTTCCCAATAATCTCTCAAGAACTCGTGGTAGGCTAATCGCAAAGTTGGGTTATTGGCCAAACAACAACAACTAACAACTGGAATCGCCTAAGGGCTTGAGGATAACATTCACCAAGTGAAGCGTGTTTATCCTTAAAGGGTAAGAATACGACGTATCTACCTGAAGGGGCACGGGAATGGGTAGAGAGAAAGATCTTCTCACACAATTTGTCTTCAGGAGACATAAAGGTCTTTGAAGGGACGGACTCGAGTTCCCAAAATCTCTTCAAAGAAACATCAACAGCAGTACTCACAGTGGTATAAAAACTAAAGAGAGAAGATGGTTCTAAAGAATTCACTTTTCCTAGGACAACCCATCCGAAGATGGTCCGAAAAGCGCATGGGCCACCGTTCTGTCCTTTTCTAAATCCAGGCAAACAAATATCTCCGTAAACCTCTGCCCCTAAAAGCACGTCTATTTCGTTGGGTTCACAGAAGTGGGTATCAGCCAAGGATAGGGACCTGAGACGTTTTAGATTCTGCTTATCAATCACCTGGTAGGGTACCTTATCACAAATAGATGGAATAACTAAAGCCTCTATATGGAGAGCAGGGGATTTTCTTTGGGAGGGGGTCACGCTCAGGGCAACCTTCCCTAACGCAGACGTCAACATTTGGTTGAGGGCTTGAATTGGTGTCGGAGAGAGAGACTTTGGAAGCTCCAATTTCTTCGCAAAGGAATCTGTCACAAAACTGGCTTGACTAGCTGAATCCAGCAGTGCACGACAAGTAACAAGTCTGCCAGATTTATCCGAAACGGACACCAAGCAAATAGCAAAGAGCACGACCTTTTGAGAGGAGAGATTGGTCATCATGGTCACCGGACTAGGGATAGTACCTTCCTGGTTGCCGGGAGCAGGGGAGCTTCATTCAAAGATAAAGAAGGATGTCAATAAAGATCGGAATAAATAATTCTCACTCCACTTAGGTTGTCGTGAAATATAAAATGAAAATACTTAATGGGCCGTGAAAGCGTAAACCAAACTAAATTATTTGTCGTGCTTTAAATATTTGTCTTTTAATTTTTTATTACCTATTGAATATGAATGATACTGAATTGCCTAACTGCGAAATGTACTACTGTATTATGTCGAATAATGTGTGAAAATAGCATTGTTTAAGGTATTGCTTTTAAGATTGTTTATATACATCTTAAGTGTAAATGGGTTTTATTATTAACGGTTTTGGCAATATGCTCACTTCGTACTAATGCCGATAGAGTTCGACATATAAGTATAAGCAAAAAATGTAAAAAGCTTTTACTGGACCTAGGAAGAATTAGCGCTAAATTCGGCAGACGCTTTTGAGCATCTTCTCGAGTGGTACATTTTTTTTGCATTCACTTGCGATTTTCGATTTTCCTGTGGCATTTTTGCTACTTGCATACAAAACCATTAACCTTATAAATTTGTCTACTGTAATACTTACGTTCGTTTAATAATTACTTCATTTAAGTGTTTTTCAGCAATATTTTAGGGCTATAGCCATAATGGATCCAAGAAGACTTACCAGTGCAGTTGCACATGATAGTTTCATCTATACCACAAGAGATACTATTATTATTATCAGAATTTTATTTATGAAGAATTACTTTTACTGCACTTTACAAATTTACGTTTATATAATATCTTTCTGTAACTTCTAATTTAAAATCACTGTTATATGCAACTTTTTATTTTATAGGTATTTAGGGTGTACAGTTCTGGAAACTTCATTGTACAGCTTCAGGCAAGATTACCTCTGCAGAAGAATTGATTATTGCTATTCCTAATCACAAAAATCCAAGAGAAAGCAACAATATTAGAGGAAAGAACTTCAAAATATTACTGAGGTAAGCTTGCTTGCGAGACAGAGGAAATGTAAAGGTAGCTACATAGTTAAACAAGTAGGATAGGAGTAAGGGGCATTTCTCGAAATTGAATATCATTCATTTTGTTTATATTACCTATAAAAGATATACCGGGGGTTATAAATCTTGAATTATGTGGGTTTAATAACACACACTGAAGCGTTTTATTTTAAGAAGGATGTATTAGATATTGGAATTTATAAGAAAACTAACAAAATTCATTCTACACTTGGTCCGCCATTCCACCGCGTTCTTGTCTCTCGTCACCTAGGACAAAAAAGAAGTTATTTCAAAAACAATACATGTAATGCCATCTATGTGACAATAACTGCGTTCTGCACTAATACATTCAACACACACCCTCAATTTAAATGCATCAACAAACTGCAATCAAATGCACTTAAATTGTCCAATAACAATTTCCTTAAGTGTTACTTTTGCTTATCACGATTGATCTAAATTTAACAAATTTTTCCTTTCCTATTTTCGTGAACATATCAGCACAGTTTTCTACTGAAGATACATATTCAAGTAACAAAACCCCTTTTAAATGTAGATCTTTGATGAAATGTAAATGCTAATATTGTCTAAGTTCAAAGTCACTGGTCCACACTTGTTTGTTAAGTCACTTAACACACCTCTCAAATTAGCAAGTCCTGCGGAAATATATTCTGCCTCCATCGATGATAATGCAACACAATTTTGTTTTCGTGAGTGCCATGCAATTGGGTTTTTGCCATGGAAAGGTACAAAACCACTAACACTCTTGCGAGTTAAATGGTCGCCTCCCCAATCAGCGTCACATACATCTGTAAGTTTGTGGTCTGCCTTGGTGAATGTTAGTCCAAGGTCAATAGTGCAACTCAGATAACGAAGAATCCTCTTTGCTGGATTCCATACACACATATTTTGTTTGTCCAAGAATCGAGATAAATATGAAACACTATATGCAATATCTGGTCTAGTTACCAAAGACAGATACATTAAACTACATACCAATCTTCTCTATGGAACACTATCTACCTCTGTCATAGTCATGTCCAAAAAAATTTACTTCCATTGGCGTTGCTACTGGTCGAGTCTCCCCCATGCCAAATTCTTCTAAAAGTCTGGTAATCATTCTCTTTTGGGTAATTTGGATGCCATTGTTGTTCCTCTTCAAGTCCATACCAAGAAATGTCTTAACTTCTGACTTTAACCTTAAACTCCTCGAATAAACTCCTGATGAGTTTCTTCACCTGATCTTCGGGTCCAATAATATGAGCATCATCAACAAATATTGCTAGCGACATATTGCCATTCACATATAAACAATAGTCATATTGGGATCTTCGAAAATTTAAGCTAGTTATAACTTGTTTAAATTTCATGTTCCAACATTTGGGTGCATTTCGTAGTCCATATAAAGCACGTTTTAATTTTAAATACCTAGACTTCGTGTTCCAACCGTCTGGTGCTTTTATGTACACATCATTGTCTAAAATTCCATTGAGAAATGCAGTAGGAACGTCAATTTGGTGCAGTTTCCAAATATTCTGCAAAGATACTGAAATAAGTAGTCTTATTGTAGCCAATCTGCATACCGGCGAGTAACTGAAATTGTCATTTGTACTTGAAAACCTCTTGCAACCAACCTGGCTTTTCTCGTACCATCTTCCTTCACTTTGAATATCCACTTTGTGTCTATAGCTTTGTGACCTTCAGGAAGTTCTGTGGGAATCCATGTTTGAGAATTTTCATGAGCTCGTACTTCCTTTTCTATGACTTCCCTCCAGTCTGCAGTTTTACAAGCTTCTTCATAGCTTTTGGGTTCATCTTCCGCTGATGTAAGTAAACAATATGCACTGTAAATTTCATAGTCACTTAGTGTTTTTGGTCTCGCCAGTCTTCTTCCATGTCTTGTTATTGTCATATTGTTTATTGATAAACATTCATCATGTTCATCACTACTGGAGCTATCAACTCTTTCTTGTAACTCACCATCCCTTTGAAATTGTTCTTCATCCTGAGTGTCATCTATTTTATTTAGTTCTCTCTTTTCTATATCCTCTTCTTGATCAGGTAAGTATACTGTATTTTTTCTTACTTCTGTTGACTTTTCTGTATCTTTCTTCTCATGGCTAATTTTATACTCCATTATACTTTCATCAAATCTTACATCTCTGGATTTTATTGTTTTCTGCTCCTGTGGTAAGCACAATCTGTAACCGCCACCACAATATCCAACCATGACCGCCTTCCTTGCCTTAGCATCTAACTTATTACTCTTTGGTAATATGGTATACCAGGCTCGACAACCAAAAATCCTGAGCTTGCTTAGATCATTTCGTCCATGCTAAATTGTAGAGGGTGTTACTCCCCTAGGTAGAGCTCTAGTTGGAATTCGATTTAATTCATATACCGAACATTTTAAAGCCTCATCCCATAGTGATTTTGGGATACCCGAATCAATTATCTTGGTTCTGACTTTATCCAGTAAAGTTCTAGTCATGCGTTCTGCTTTCCCATTCTCTTGGGGTGTATATGCCATGGTATACTCCAGTGTGATAACCTTTTGTTTACAAAAATTTCTAAAACTACTGGAAAGAAATTCACCTCCATTATCTAGTCTAAATGCTTTAACCTTGACTTGATTTTGTCTTTCAAGATCTCGAACATACTGTACCAGATTTTCACTAGCTTCATCTTTGGTTTTTAAAATTCTGATTGTTAAGAAATGAGAATAATCATCTAATATAGTTTGAAAGTACTTACTACCATCTTTAGTTTGTGGATTGATTAGTCCGCAGACATCACTATGCACTAAGTCTCCTATAGCTGTGGTTACTTCTCTCAAACGGACACCTTGTTGCCTTGCCCTCCATACAACTGCTGCATACCTGGTTAGATTTTGATAAAACCAACTGCACAAATGAGTTACCACCTGCATGCCCTAACCTTCTATGCCATAGGTCCTCCCCTGAAATGTGACTCTGGTGAAGCAACGGTTCTATTATCTTGTTCATTGGTAACACATATAGTCCATTTTTGTTTTCACACTTCAACACAAAATTTCTACCATTTATGGTTGGCCTTCTCCTTGGACTATCTTGTGCCCCCTGCTTTGAGGCTGATAACAAATTGTGCTTCATACCTGGAACAATGAGTGCTTCAACTGACAATTTGACCCCTTGACACTCTGCTTTTAACACTCCCGTCTTGTTGGACCTTAAAATTTCTTCATTGGTTATATGTATTGACACATAATTTGGTAGCTCCTGCACACTATGCATTTTTCCTTCCAATTCCTTTTGTACAAAATGATTGCTTGCTCCTGAGTCCAATACGAAATTCATACCTTCGATATGATTTCCGTGGTTTGCTGCATACAGAATTACGTCTTCTTCGGCTGTGTTGGCTTTCTTATTTCTATCTCCCGATGTTTGTACACTTCCTTTTCCTCTATCCACACGTGGATTACCTCTGAATCCTCTATCTTGCCTGCCTCTAAAGTTCCCTTTTCTTCGTGGACACTGCGCCTGAAAATGTTGGGGACTACCGCACGCAAAACATTTCTTGCCACTTACATTCAAGCCTATTTCGCTGCCTTCATTGCCACAATTAGCTTTTGATTTCATTTTTATTTCCTTGTCCAATAACCTCGTTTTAACAAAATCAAATTTTACATCTGAAATTGTCTCCAAAGCTGTTACAACAGTATCATATTGTACTGGCAGTGACAATAGTAAATGGCAAATTTTATCACTCTCACTTAGGTCTGATCCATGCTCTTTAAGCTCCCTGATAATTGTATCAAATTTTAGGAAATGGTCTTCAAGCCTTTCATTCGCAGTAGTTTTTAGATTTAACAGTTTTCTCCAACAGGATAATATTGTAAAAGAGCTAGACCTTACAAACACATTTTTCAATGCCTCAATTTGCGCCTTTGCACTTTTGCAATCTTTAATAATATCAAAGTGTTTGTCCGACACACCTTGAACTATTATTGACTGTGCTTTAAAATCCTTTTTCTCCCATTCCTCCTTTTCGTTCGAAGTAGCACTTTCTCCTGGTTTATTACCTTGGATAGCCTCCTGGCAGTTTTCCCTTCGAAGCAAAGTTACCAGTCTGAACCGCTGTGTATTCCATCCATAGCTAAAAGTACGAAATTCCAAACTGTTTACAGCTCTATTTTACAATCCTTCGCTTCTGGAATCTGGGCCCATAACCTCTTGAATTATGTGGGTTTAATAACACACATTGAAGCGTTTTATTTTAAGAAGGATGTATTAAATATTGGAATTTATAAGAAAACTAACAAAATTCATTCTACAGTTGGTCCGCCATTCCACCGCGTTCTTGTCTCTCGTCAAGTAGGCCAAAAAGAAGTTATTTCAAAAACAATACATGTAATGCCATCTATGTGACAATAACTACATTCAACAATAAACTGGGGAAATTGGCAAAAACAAGAGATCCAAGTTAGGTTAAACTGAAGCAAAGCTACATTGCAAATCCATTGACCAAAGTACATACATAGCTAATATGACATACTACCTTTACGTTATGTATTTCAGAAAGCCAAAAGGTGCAGTTTATGTTCCTTATAAATTAATTAGAACATCTATGCAAAGATGGAGGCGGGCAACAACGCCAAATGTGCCAGGGAGCCTAGAGGGATTGGCAGAAATTTTACAAACAGGCGAGTGGCCTAGATATTATAATTGTTCAAGTGGGCCTTTTTTTTCAGGTGCTGTGGTGACCAGAGAGGGACAAAGAACAATTGTTTTTGGAAATACCCAATTCGTCAGCAACTTTGGCGATTACCAAATATACCTTTATAGACAGTACTTTCAAAGCAGTTCCGAGAAGACCAGGATTTGCACAGATTCTGACTTTTTTTGCCACATGCATGGATTATGTGTGTGGAAGTCTCAGATAATAATTATATTTAACCAGCACATTTACTGTTAGTAGTTCAATATTTTAGGCTTTTTCCATTTTACATGTATTTATGGAGAAAAAGTTGAAGTCTCTCTGTATTACATCATTATATTACCGAGATATTTCCCCATTTTATTAATGGTACTGTGGTAACAGATTATGAATCAGCATTGATTGATTCATTGAGAACAGTAATACCCACAAGCAACTATGCATGGATGTTTCTTTCATTTTTGCCAGGTACTTCTCAATTTGTTAAGTTTAACTAGTGTACTGTGTACAGGTACAAACTCATTAGATGTAAATATATTGTTATTAATTTAAAGATAGTCCCTTATTTCTGTTCTGTCGGGGGTTCGTGCGACAGTTAAATTAATACGTTAATTCAGAAACTAAATATTTATTCTGTAACGACTTCAAATTATTACAATGCCGGATAGGGCGCTCGCGCATCAATGCGTATTGAGTGCCAAGGATAGACTAAATCCTAGGGGTTTCTACGGCAGGACGTTAACATGCTATGTTGCCATGTCTAACAGAACATCCTCCCCTTTACAAAGAAATTAGTCAGTAATATAGTCTTTTAAATAAAAGGGTCTTTTTGTAATTCTGATCGGACGAGAACGCGCACTAACACATTCACGATTTTCACTGACACTTTCTTTTTTGTCCGTTTCACGAGCTCTTTCAAATTTAGGTGAATCAACGCTATAATTTAAAGTATCACTTTCGAGCTCGTTGGGATTGAGTTTATGATTTACACTGGAATTAGTTGGGTTAGTAACATCATTGGAAATCTCATCTGACAATGCTTGAGTGACTGACGAAGACTCATTGTTTAAACACGAATGATATTCGGAGTTATTTGGAACAAAATTATAATATCTAGCTAAAACTAGATGCCGTCTATTTCTATGAAAAATTCCACTGTTTGTTTCGACAAGAAAAGATCTTGGTTCAGTTAATTTTTGTATTATTCTACCATACATCCTTAAATCAGTCACCCAAACACAGTCGTTAATTTGCAAATCTGACAATTGCTTAACTCTATGCCGGTTATTGTAATTTCGGCACATTTTATTTCGATATCTTTCCTCCTCTTTTAAAACAGGTTCCGTATCCACGTATTGACTTAAATATTTTGGTAAAATTGGAAGATGTGAACGAATTTTTCGATTAAACATTAATTCTGCAGGACTAAACCCGTTTTCTAAGGGTGTGGTGCGATAAGCTAAGAGAGATAAATACATATTACTCTTTTTTAACAAATTTTTTGCTGTCTTAACGGCGGTTCTACGCAACCATTGAACTGTGAAAAATAAGGACTACTAGTCACATGTTTAAAGTCATAATCTTTGGCAAATTGTTTAAATTCACTTTGAAATTGTGGACCATTATCAGATCTAACAGTTTCTGGAATACCAAACTTTGCGAACAATTCTTTCAATTTGGTAATAATATTTCTTTCTGTTAAAGATTGAAGCTTGAAAATATCGAAATATCTTGAGAAATAATCCACTATAATCAAATACCAACTATCAAGTTTAAATAAAACAATACCTACTTTTTACCATGGTCTTTCGGGAAACGGTTCTTTAAATAACGGTTCGTTTTTATTAATTCGCTGTTCAACACAGTTGGGACAATTTCTGACTAAATTTTCTATTTCGGTTGATAACCAAACACAAGATTTTGCTCGGGCTCTACATTTAACAATTCCAAGATGACCTTGATGAATAAACCCAAGACATTTTAAAATACGGTTTAAGTTCCAGGTTCATTTTATTTTTATTCGTAGGCCGTCCTTCCTGAGAAAGCTGACGTAATTGTTGACAAATTGAATCTTTGTTTTGTTCAGATTTTATTTCTTCCAAAAAATACGGTTTGACTTCAAAAGAGGTAGTGATTAAATTTACATATCAGTTTCGAGTACCAATTCGTCGTCTTTCGGTAGTTCATCGATAGCGAATTTTCTCGATAATGCGCCCGCAACAACTAAGTCTTTTCCCGGTACAAAATAAATACCGTAGTCATAGCGCATTAGTCTTAGTCGGAAACGTTGCAAACGCGGCGTTAATTCATCAATAGGTTTAGTTTGTAGAACTTGTACGAGTGGTTTATGATCTGTTTCTAGAGATACTTTTAATCCAGAGATATACTCAGAAAATTTATCACAAGCCCACGTTAATGCTAAACTTTCGCGTTCTATTTGAGCGTAAAGTTGTTCAGTTTTTGATAGTAATCTTGACGCGTAGCATACTATTCTCTTTAACCCACTTTTGTCTTGTTGAATTAGACAAGCTCCTATTCCAAAAGATGAAGCATCTGCTGAAACTATAATTTATTTACTTGGATCAAAATATTCGAGACAAGGGCTTTGTTGCAATAATTCTTAAATTTCTTTAAAACTTTGTTTTTGTGACAATCCCCATGAAAAGTTTACATTTTTCTTCAATAGAGAAGTTAACGGTTCTAGAACGTGAGAACGATTTTGTATAAAACGACTTGAAAGAATCTTAAAAGTTAATTTTTATCAGTAGGATCTGGAAAATTGATTATAGATTGTATTTTTTCGGGGTCTACAGATATGCCCAAACTAGATAACGAATGTCCTAAGAATTGGAGAGCTTTTACGCCAAAAACACATTTTTGTTTTTTTAAAGCGATACCTTCTGCCTGAATACGTCTCAAAACTTCAAAAAGAATTTCGTTATGATTTTCTAGTGTAGGTTCATGGACTAATATGTCGTCTATATGAAAAATAACACCATCAAACCCTTTTAAAAGGTTATTTAAAAGCATAGAAAGTATTCTGGAGCACATGTAATGCTAAAGGGTAATCGTTTAAATATGAAGCGACCAAAAGGAGTTATGAAACAAGTTAAATGTTGACACTGTTTAGTTAATTTTATTTGATAGAATCCGGACGTTGTATCTAATCAACTAAAGTAATTTGAGCCTTGAACTTGAGCAAGAATTCTTTCCACTTTTCCGATAGGAAAATGATTACGGAGAACCACTTTGTTTAGCTTCGTATAGTCTACACACAGTCTGATTTTATTGTCCTTACGCACTATTACGATTGGACTTACCCAGGGAGTATGATAATCTACCGGTTCCATGTCGAGTTTTTGTAAACGATCGAGTTCCTCTCTTAAAGGTTTTAGTAATGGTATTGGGACGACTCTCGGTACCGACTGAATAAGGTTGAATGTCACTTTTTATTTTTATGTCCAATTCCGTCTTAAAAGTTCCAATACTCTGAAATAATTATGGAAAGCTTTTTTCGATTTCATTTAAATTAATGTTTTTTCAATTAATATTTAAGGTGTTTATTTTTGATTCCATACCATCACCAAATTGTAGAATTTTTAATTCTAATATGACACTCCTGCTTAATATTGGTTTGCACAATTGAACTATAACATAAATGTCAGTATAATGTAATTTGTTTGAAACATATAAAGTGGCTTGAAATACACCTTATACTTTTAGATTTTCTCCCGATGGGCCCGTTACCAATTTATTAGATTTGGAAAGAGACCGTATTACATTATTACTTAAAATATTAGCTGGAATACAGGTTATATCTGCACCCGAATCTATCATAAAATTTAAATGTTTATTGAGTTCTAATATTTTTATACATATATTCCACTGATTTCTGGAATTTATTTTGTTATTAATGGATCCTATAAAGCTTTCTGGAAATTTATCAGTATAAGTTAAACAAATTTTGTTATTAGTTTCATTAATATTGTTAGTATTTTCACTTTCATTTTCAAACTGAATTGATCTGACCTTAGTACCGCGACAGACTTCTGCCCAATGTCCTTGTTTCTTACAAGATCGTGCCACGTCTCTTTTTCCAATGAAGGTGGAGGGGAGACTAAAGCAATCCTACTATACTTGGCTCACTTTGCTACCGATTGGAAGCAGTATGTATATGGCCCAAGCAGCTCAGTTTCTCAAAATATGGGCGGGGTATAAAAAAATAAAGTAAATAAATCAAAGGTTGGAAACCGGGGCGCCAGCTAGGACAAAACCCCAACCTATACTATAAGTTAGTGATAGTGACTAGTGTCCTTGCTCACTAACCACCAAAGAAACTCACAAAGTTAACAAAGTTCGAACCCAAATCACCAAAAACCAAATAAATAATTAATAAATAAGACCGGCACGTCAGTTTAAATCTCCATATATTGGCTCAAGTACACACTAAGCACAGGAAGCTTGGTTACGATCGATCGTTTACAAGTAATTCTTACAAAAAAATGTTTCTATAATTGTGTACTTTATCTTTACCCTAACTGAGCTCTTTAATTTATACTGATGTTTAAAAATTGAAATTTGTATTTAATAGGCATAAAATTAACCGGAACATAAATAGAGGCTTATCTGTGATCCTCCAGTTACCAGCAACGAACGAGTCGGGCAAGCTCTAAGATGACTGTTCTGTATACTGCCTATGGGTTCACCAGTCAGTGGGATAGGCACGAATGCTTATCACTCTTGGACGAGGAGATATGCACTGCAACGTCCTGAACCGAGCTAACTTGAAGACTTGAAGAATTCTTGGGTTGCAGAATTCATAACACGTGCCGTCCACGAAGTAAGGAGGCACCAAATCCACGAAGTAAGGAGGCACCAAATCCAATTGAACCGGAACTAGGGAAGCCAGTACCAAAGGGAAGTCAAAACCAGACCAACAATCAAAAAACTAGTTCCAAAAGAAAAACCAAATCCAAAACCAAAACCAGAACCCTACA